ATATATCAAATTTGCTTTTGCCATGTAAATAAAAGTAGATAAGAGAAAAAAAGCACACCAAATAAAATATATATATATATATATATATATATATATATATATATAAAATCACCGAATTTGAATATTCGAAGGCGAGTCGTCGGTTGAAAAGCACATTAGGAAAAAGTAATAGAAGAGCATATGATTATGTTACGTATTAACGCGTTTTTACAGCTTAAACCCAATTACTAGTACGAAACTTTATACTACTCCTTCACGTGGACTTTTTTCACCTAAATCATGCATGCAGACAAACGCTCTTATTTATATATATATATATATATATATATATATATATATACATTACTTCATGAAATAGAAGTTCATATAATATGCATGCATGCATATACATATATATATATATATATATATTCGTTCTCGAATTAAATAAAAACTTTTAATCGATCCAATTGAAATTTTGCATCCTTTTTTTTTATTTCTCATAAATATTACCCTGATTTTGTTCCGTCATATGGAATTTTATATACAATAGTACGACTGAAAAAGAAAACTGATGTTACGTTTTTTTCTTCTAGGAAAAATTTCTCTTAGTAAAATCAAAACGGTGTTTGGAGCTCTCTGATTGGTTGGTTCGCGTTCACTTTAGTTTTAGAATTTAATATTAAAAAAAGATATTAATATATCATTTAATATTTATGTTAATTTCAGTAAATTTTAGGGTATTAGTAATTTTTTTCTCAAATGGTATTTTAAAAACAAAAAAAAAAATCCCATCAATTTTTTCATGACATATTTAAAAAAATGTTAATTAACTTCCATCAATTTTCGTCGCGGCATTTAAAAAAGCGGAATCAAATGTACATTACTACACAAGAATTTACTCATTTAGCTATCCAAGACCGCCACGTGGCAAATTAATTATTCTAAGCGTTTCCACATTATGAGGTTCGACGGGTAAAGTCGTTACTCGTTGAAGGGAACTAGTGAAAAGGGGAAAGCGGTCTCAACTTTTTTGGACAAATTCCTCATCGTGATTCCGATATAATTACAATAATAACCCTACAATGGGTATTAATGGCCACAAATTTTCACCATAATAAAAATTATCAAAATACTAATCTCCTAGAGCACATATACAAATAAAAATTTTACACACACACACACACACACGTATATATATATATGTGTGTGTGTGTTTATATGAGTGACTATACATCATGTTGAATACAAATAACTAAAATCATATATTAGTTCAAGATTTGTAAGAAACTGGATTTACATGATATATGATGCAATAGAATCTCAAATATATATCCACAAGAGCGCGTGCACACATATAATACTATTATATATACATATTTATTTACCGTAATAGTGTTTATATTGATCTCGAGGAGATTTTGCAAGCTAAATATATATATTTTAATGAGCAGTAGACATCAATGCAACTGTTGGAGAAAAGGGCCAATCGATAACGTTTTATTTAATGAGAACCGAGTGTTTAAGCAAAGAGATTAAAGAATAATTATCACAAAATCATATGCTAATGAGATTAAGCAACCTCCTGATACATTGAACTGACAGAAAGACAACCCGCTCTAAAATCCGCCGGTTTTGTCTTAAACCACATGTTTACAAAATTTAATTATTGATTTTGTCTCTTTCCATACGCACGACGATTTTATTATATATACAAAAACACGCAGACACCTCACAAGCATGTACGTACGTATGTATGTAGATATGTATACGCATATGTATGTATGTATGTATGTATGTATGTATGTATGGATGGATGGATGGATGGATGGATGGATGCCATTTGTTTGCATATAGCATTATAATTATTAATACATCATTTCCTATGTGAACATTGGTTGTTATGTCAATCTATTGGATATTACTATTTAATATCATGGAATACAATATATAACACTCAAATTTAATAAAAACTTTGGTTTATACAATATGGTCGGATGCGTCTAGTTTAACAATTGAATAAAAGCGTGCTCATCAATAATAGAATTAGGCAATCTAAGGACTTTGATCATTTGTGGGCATATGATTATCTAAGTTTTTGTACGTTTCCCATTTTCAGTGTGTGTGTATATATATATATATATATATGGGATTATTTTATTTTACAATCAAATTAATTTTAAGGAAAATAGAAAAATGGTGATGAGAATGGGTGTGAAAACTCCTCGTACAGGGCAAGTAGACAGCCATCCGTGTGTTTTTTTTTTTGTAACGAGTGCGCATCCGTTGTTGTCTTTCTGCATTATTGTTTTTTTTATGCATTATTGTTATTCCTTTGCCACGTTCTTGATTTGTCCTTTTTCGTATCACTGATGATATAATTCGTGTTTTTGTGTGTTTATATATTATTATCTGTATCTAAATAAGTATATAACAACAGTATTTTTATGAAAATACCAATAAAAAGCCAAGGGTGGTTGCCTCAACCGGTAAGTGGGTATGCGCAAAGAGTGCTCCATCCAGGTTTGAACCCACAATTGACAAATCACATATTATAAAAAAAATAACAATAAAAAAACAAATACAAAAATAGCACAGAAAAATTGACGTGCCGACATAAATGGCCGATAGTATCATGTTTTTTTTTAAGAATGTGAAAATGAAGACCATTAATAAATTGAATATAGAAAAAAAATAACATGAAAATTGAACTATGTATATTTATTTAGATATAGCTAGAATTTAGCATAAAAGGGCCATTTAAATTTGCTTCAATTAATTTTCAAAGTTAATTTTTATAAAATCTTGTTTGTATTTATTATATCATATTAATATTTATAAACAACGATGGAAATATCTATTAAAAATGTCACAAATTCTACACTAAAATATACTCCCTCCACGTTTAAAATTTCTACACACAAATTAAAAAATATTATTTTAACCAAAATACTTTCATTTATTGCATAGATAATTGTTATTTCTAAATATATAGAATATTTAAATATTATTAATTAAGGATAAATTTGAAAAAAATATTTAAAATTATATTGAAAATTGGAAAACGTAATTTATTTTGAAATAAAAAATTTGTTCTAAAACGTCATCTATAATGAAACGGAGCAAGTATATAGTAAATCTATTCCTTAGATTTTGGAAATATTGTGCATAGAAATAGATCGAACTCAGGCAACATGGTGAGATGACAATTACTTTGTTCATGGGACTTTTTGTTTAACTTGGTTTCATTGGGTTTGGTGTTACTGACAATTGAAAATCTAATCTTTATATTATATAAAAAAGAATCATTTGTATGGATGTCGTGAATTAATTAGGTAAATTTTGGAGGATTGTGAAATGGAAAGTAAATATTTGTAATTAATTTCGGAGTTTATTCGTAATATAATTTGGATATCTTATAGGATAAATATTTCCGAAGATATATAACTCTATCTCAAGGATGACGGAACCCATGTGGCCATTAAGAGAATTTTAAAAAATAAAACCTTTGTACTTAGTGGACACGGTTAAATATAAAATTAAATACTAATTAGTAATTAACAATTAAAACAAACTATTTATTATGGAGTTGGTGTTCAGTTTTCTCGGGCAGTTCGTCAGGGAAATCTATTACTCCCTCGGTTAGATATTATATAATAAACCGCATTTTGTCTTAAATATATAAATATAGAAGAAATAATAAATAAATTTAAATTCTTTAGAATTTTCAATTGTATGCACGAATTAACTTTATCCCTAGCTTGATAATGGATGAAATTGTGTTTTCATCGTTCTACTCGTAAAAACTCAATGAAGTTTACGTGTTTAATGACGATCGAAAATCCGTCGTTATTGTTATGGTATGTTTTTTAAATATGGAAAATAACATCCCTGTGATATATATATATATATATATATATATAGAGAGAGAGAGAGAGAGAGAGAGAGAGAGAAGTGTATAGAATTTGTATCAATATCATAGGATAATAATAATAATAATAATAATAATAATAATAATAATAATAATAATAATAATAATAATGAACCATAAATGTGAATAATCTCAACGTATCATGTATGATCGATAAGTTCCCGCCATAAGAAATTTTTGGTTTAGTTTCCTTGATTATTATGAAAGAAATAGATTGTTTGGTCCAACAATAGAAACTAGTATATACGATTTACGGTAATTAAAATCATTAATTATAAATAGGCAATTAATGACAAAAAGCTAATTAATATTTTAAAAGAAATGTTGGAACTTGCTAAGTTGAAATTTCATGACTTTGGAAATTTCCTTTTTTTTAAAATACGATAAAATATCTATTTTTTTACTAATAAATGTTAAATCATTGATATATTTTATATATATCTATATACATTTAGTTGAGTCAAGAAACATTTCATGAAAGATACAAAACATATTGGAAAAGGTAGATGTTACTATTGAATTATCGAATTTATACCGAAGGAAAGTATTGACCATGAGTATATATAAACCGTTCTAATAAAAACATTCATATACAAATTGTAACACAATTCATATCCCATCTACTATCATGTTTTTGTTCTAACTCAAAAATTTCTATACTTACATTGAGAGTTTGGAATTAAAAATTTTATGAATGTATTAATATAAAAGAGAGAGGACGAATCGTGAAAGCTTCTCATATATAATTTCTTTGGCACGAAAGATGATTTATTAATACATATATATATATATATATATAATAAATCATATAGAAGATAATAAAAAAACGCAAATTATGTTAAGCAAGAGACAAGGGGCCCTGATAAAGTGGGAGGGATTTTGGAAAGAAAGCTCAGTGTTACTCTCCGAGAGAAAGACAAATATGGAATATCTTAAACAATTTCCTCAATATCTAAAAAAAAAAACGAAAACCAATTATTTCCAATTTATAATGCTTTTATTTTTCATTTTCAGTGACATCGACCACCCTTTTGCCCCCCTCTTCGTATTATGGCTTTTTTCCCCTGCAACCTCCCTCCCTCCCTCTCTCTCTCTCTCTCTCTCTCTCTTAAGGAACAAGGAAAGAAAAAGAGACAAAAATGGAGGAAATGGGTTCTATATGGTTTTACCAAGAGGTGGGTATTCTCTATCTGCAATTCTAATTACGATTCCTCAATTTTTTTTTACCAGATTTCTGGATTTCCACGAGTATTATTATGTTCATTTCTTGCGGCTTTTATGTATACTTAGTTAAAATTATTGCATCTTTCTGTGTCTGTGTGTGTATTTATGTATTTCAACAATTTGCTGCGTTCCTTTCATACAAGAAAAAAAAAATTCTGGGTTTTCAGATTCTGCTTCATCCTAAAATTTAAGGATTTTTCGATTTTTTAGAATATATATATATATTCTTTGACATCTACGGCTTTCATGAATTTTGTCTCTGCGAATTTTTTAGAAACTAGGATTTTTGTTTCTGCGAGGTTACGAGATTTCACATTATTAAAATGGAATTTTCTTTGACATGTAAGGATTTATGTTTTTTTTTTTAAAAAAAAAGCATTTTTCACCAAAAGAAGAACACCGTTAGTCTTCGTTCTTCTAGTATTATCTTTTAATCAAAATCTTATTCACTTGCTTTTTATATATTTAATAATCCTAACCAGGTTTTATTTATATAATAATAATAATTATTATTATTTGTCCCATATTAATACAAGATTCGTGACATACACATGGGGCCTATTACTTACACTGTGGGAGACGTAGATTTCTTCCCTTCTTTCAATATCCAACAAGAAATATATGACCAATTCAAACATTCCTGTCATTGCCCTCAAATCTAAAGATCTGATTCGATACGCTTTCGATTTTTTTTTTGGATTTCATTAAACAGAGCATCGATGAAATGAGACAAAAGCTTCAGTACACTTCGTTTGAACTAGAGGCTCTGAAAGCGAAAGCTGACGACGAGACAAGACTTCACAACGAAGAAGTGAAGAACCTTCTTCATCTCCTCAAGCTCGCCTGCCAGGAGAGAGACGAGGCGAAGGATCAGTTGCAGAGGATCTTCAAGAAACAGAGCATGTCCAGTCAAGACACGATCAAACACAACGCTGTCCTTGTCATGCCTCAGAACCCCAAGGCGAACTCGAGCATCACCGAGTCGAACAGCCTCTCGCACGGTTCTTCACCCGTCGACTCGTTCTTCGAACCGGTCACTTCCCCTGAGTTCTCCAACTTCAACAACGCAACCGACCCGGCTCACGGTTTCGGATTCGGGAACCGACCCGCTAACCGGAACTGCAATTCTCAGAGACCCTTTTCCTATGTTCCTCCCTCGACGGTTAAGATCGATCCGGTCGATGCTCTGATCGATGAGATGGTGAAAGGGAAGGATCTGCCGGTGAAGGGGAAGCTTCTGCAGACTGTGATGCAATCAGGACCGTTGCTTCAGACTCTGATGGTGGCGGGCCCTCTTCCACGGTGGCGAAACCCTCCGCCACTGCAGCAGACATTCAGAGTTCCTCCGATCTCGAACTCGTACGAGGTTTCAAGAGGGTGTTCCAGTTCGCAAATGTGTTTGAAGTCGTTGTCGATGCTCAACTTCAGAGGCTACTCTGTTTCAGGCCTCGCCCCTGAAATCCAGGTTGCCAAGCGGCAGAGATTTCATTAGCGGTGATCTTGTAAAGATTAATTTAAAAAGGTTTCTTGGTTAGGAGCGGTCTATATTGGACTATAACGTTTTCGGTTTTGGATTGAGATATTCATTTTTCGATCTTTATGATACATATATAAATGATTCTCATGTCCTGATGGATCACGATGCTCCTACGGACGATCATGTATGATTTACATGTTCCACCTGAAAAATATTAGGTTTCGGTTTAAATTTGTAGGTTTGAAAAAATTCGAGCTTTTGGATTGGGTTCGTATCGGATTTCACTTGTAGACAAGTGAAATATCAAACTGATCGCACCGACCTGGGCTCGAACCCGAATTCTATGGGGTTGGACTTTGGACTTGGTTCTATAAGCCCGAATTTCTCGGATCGAGAGTGGACTCAGGCCAGACCGACCCGGTTCCCGTTTGACATCTTACAAGTTACTTTGAAATTGAAATTTTGACTTGATCCAATCATGGAGGTGACAAGAAATAATCTTGTTCGTGGCTGAAGTTGGAGACGGAAGTTTCGGACAAGGGATGAGTTGATTAAGTCAATAGACTTGTTCAACAGTCGAGTAACCATTTCCTGATTTTTCTGCATTTTTGTTGTTCTTCAGTTGTTATTGCACGATCTTTCTTTTGCTCTGTACTTTTCTATTTAAGGGACAAGTAAAGTTCAATAAAGATATGCTTTTCCCAAAACCCAGATTCAAAGAAGTTTCGATGCTCTGTTTTATGTGTTGATAAACAGAGTACTGGAACTCAGTTCTTTTTTCTACACTTGGTATCAGAGCACGGTTCGCCGTGAATGCCGAAGTGCATGTCTCGCGAAGAATCTTCAAGCAGTGCTGTCCGTGATCAGGACACCACCCGGACGACGCATGTCGAAGCAGGATTTCAAGGAAAGGAGGGGGGTATTTCAATTCAGTACCCCATGCTAACGAAGACGAATTACGCAGTATGGGCCATGAAGATGCAGATCAACATGAGGGCCCAAGGTGTGTGGGACACGGTCGAATCCGAGGGACCAGTTGACGCAAGGAGAGACAACATGGCACTAGCAGCAATCTGTCAAAGTATTAGCGAGGAGACATTCTTGCAGATTGGTATCAAGAAGACAGCTAAAGAAGCTTGGGAAGCTCTGAGAACTCTCCATCTCGGTGTTGAGAGAGTGATGGAGGTTAGAGCACAGGCTTTGCGATGGGAATTAGAAGGATTCAAGATGGCAGAGAACGAGGGGATAGACGAGTATGCTGGAAGAATCTCCACGATCGTAACCAAACTAAGGTCAGTGGGGGAGAAAGTCGAAGAAGTCTACGTGGTCAAGAAAATTTTGAGGTCGGTGTTGCCGAAATTTATTCCAGTGACATCGTCATTTGAGAATTTTGGAGACCTGAAGAACTTAAGCGTTGAAGAAATAACAGGAGCTCTCAAAGCTCACGAAGAGCGATTGAAGAGTTTCGAAAGCAATGGAGATGATCATGTTCTTCTGACTCGAGGAAGTCTGAAGGCAAAAGAAGGAGTAAGTAGCTCAACCGAAAGACGCACTCAAGGAACATTTAGAGGAAGAGGTCGGAATTGGGGATGGATGAATAACCGCGGCAGAGGACGCGGTAATTTTGGAAGAGGTCGAAACTTCGACATCTCAAGGATACGTTGTTACAACTGTAACGAGCTTGGGCATTATGCAGCCGACTGTGAGTTGAGAAGAGAAGATGATGAACAGGTTCATATAACAGAGCAGAAAGAAGATGAACCTGCGTTATTGATGATGGAAATGTGCGAGTTGGTTCACACAACAGATGAGAGTGACAGCAAAGTGTTGCTGAATGAGGAAAAAGGTGTGGAGCAGAGGAAGAACCAAACAACTGAGACGGTTTGGTATTATGATACAGGGGCCAGTAACCACATGACTGGAACCAAAGAAGCTTTCACGAGTTTGGATGAAAGCGTGAGGGGGAATGTCAGATTTGGAGATGGTACAATGATTGAAGTCAAAGGGAGAGGAGCTGTTACTTTCAGATGCAAGAATCATGAACAACTAAGGATGGAGAACGTCTACTATATTCCCAGGTTAAAGACCAACATCATCAGCCTCGGGCAACTAGATGAGTCAGGAGCAAAGATCGTAGTCGAAGGTGGACTGATGAAAGTGTTCGATGCAAAGGGAAAGTTGGTCGCCAAAATCCCGAAGTCAAAGGGAGAGGAGCTGTTACTTTCAGATGCAAGAATCATGAACAACTAAGGATGGAGAACGTCTACTATATTCCCAGGTTAAAGACCAACATCATCAGCCTCGGGCAACTAGATGAGTCAGGAGCAAAGATCGTAGTCGAAGGTGGACTGATGAAAGTGTTCGATGCAAAGGGAAAGTTGGTCGCCAAAATCCCGAGGGTACCAAATCGCTTGTATACCATTACGATACTACAAGAACAATCTTGTCTGGTGATAGAGAAAAGTGCAGAAGCGTGGACGTGGCATGAAAGGTATGGACATTTGAATTTTTCAGCTCTGAATGAAATGGGAAGAAGTAAAATGGCCAAGGGATTACCTGAAATCAAGCAATCAGAGGGAAGCTGCGATGGTTGTCTAATGGGAAAGCAACACCGTCATAGTTTTCCTAAAGCAACCATGTTCAGAGCCAGCAAACCATTGGAATTGGTACACGGAGACATATGCGGGCCTATAACTCCGACAACACCTGGTGGAAACAGGTACTTCCTACTTCTTGTCGATGACTACAGTAGGTTTATGTGGATCGAAATGCTGAAAAATAAAAGTGATGCCCTTGAGAGTTTTAAGAAGATAAGATTAGTTGTGGAAGGACAATCTGAAAGAAAGATTAAGATGCTGAGGACTGATAGAGGAGGCGAGTTTACTTCTGGTGCGTTCAATAGCTTCTGCGAAACTCAGGGAATACTCAGACAACTCACTGCCCCGTACTCGCCGCAACAGAACGGCGTGGTGGAGAGACGAAATCAGACGGTGGTCGAAATGATCAGATGCCTATTACAGAGCAGAGCAGTACCTGAGCATTATTGGGGAGAAGCGGCAAAAACGGCAGTATATATACTGAACCGATCACTCACTGCGAGCGTGAAAGGCAAAACACCTTACGAAGCCTGGTTTGGAAAACCTCCAAACGTGTTTCATTTCAGGGTCTTTGGTTGCATTGGGTATGCAAAGACGGTTGGAACACATCTCAAAAAGTTGGATGACAGGAGCATGAAGCTGGTGATGCTGGGATATGAGCCAGGAACCAAGGCTTACAGATTGTTGAATCCCGAAAACAATCGAATAGTGGTGAGCAGAGATGTGGTGTTCAGGGAAAATGAGAGTTGGGATTGGAAAAGCAAGGAAGCAGAATCACATACAGCAACAGGTGCACGTGTAACTATAACAGGACATCAAGAACTAGATGTTCCTACTCTTACACCGCCCACGACACCTGTTGCTCCGGTGACAGAAGTACAGAGGAGCAGTCACTCAGGAGAGAGCAGCGATAGTAGCGTCATGAGACCAAGAGGATACAAATCACTGCAGGAGTTGTACGATACAACTCATGAAACTGAACTTGGAGAGAACTTGTATCTGCTGTCAATCGAAGAACCAACCTCGTTCGACGAAGCTGCAGGGAACGAAAACTCGAAGCAGGCAATGGTCGAAGAAATTGAATCCATAAACCGGAACAGAACATGGGAGCTGACGGATCTGCCGGAAGGACACCGTGCAATCGGATTAAAGTGGGTTTTTAAACTGAAGAAAAACCCAGAAGGAGAGGTGATAAAGCATAAAGCAAGATTAGTGGCAAGGGGATATGTACAGAAACTCGGAATTGACTATGAAGAAGTATTCGCACCAGTTGCCAGATTGGAGACAGTGAGATTACTACTGGCATTTGCAGCACAGATGGGATGGAAAGTCCATCATATGGAGTTGGAAGAAGAGGTGTATGTTCAACAAACAATCGGATTCGAGGTGAAAGGAAATGAAAACAAAGTGCTGAGACTGAGGAAAGCTCTGTATGGACTCAAGCAGGCACCTAGAGCTTGGAATCAGAAACTTGATCAGAGCTTAAGGGAGATTGGATTCGAGAGGTGTCATTTGGAGCCTGCCGTGTACAAGAGACAGGATGAAGAAGATGTCCAAATCGTAGGTGTATATGTTGATGACCTGATAATCCTGGGATCGAAAGCGGGCAGCATAAAGGAATTCAAGAATCAGATGCAGAAGCTGTTCGAAATGAGTGACCTCGGTTTTCTCAGTTATTACTTGGGGATCGAAGTGAGTCAGGAACCTGAAAGTATAACTCTGAAGCAAACAGGATATGCAGAAAGGGTTCTTGAGAAACTGGGTATGGCGGATTGTAAGCCTTGCCGAGTTCCTATGGATTCCAGAGTGAAGCTGAGCAGAGAAGATGATAGCCCTCTGACATATGCAACTTTATACAGAAGCACGATTGGAAGCTTAAGGTATCTGGTTCATACTCGCCCAGATATTGCTTTCTCTGTTGGTGTTGTGAGCAGGTTCATGGAAGCACCAACAATCAAGCATTTAGGAGCAGTGAAACAGATCCTTCGATATATCAGAGGAACGCTCAATTATGGATGCAAATACACACGAGAAGATGGAGAAGCAAGTTTAGTTGGTTTCTGTGACAGTGATTTGGCGGGAGACGTTGATGATCGGAAAAGTACAACGGGAGTAATTTATTTTCTTGGGAGCAGTCCTGTCACTTGGTTGTCACAGAAACAGAAGGTTGTAGCTTTGTCCTCCTGCGAAGCTGAGTATGTGGCTACAACGGCAGGAGCATGTCAGGGCATATGGCTGGAGAGATTGCTGTTCGAGATCAGGGGACATCAGGAACGGAAAGTGACGCTCAAGGTGGATAACAAGTCTGCAATAGCGCTCGCCAAAAATCCTGTTTATCACAGTAGGAGTAAGCATATTGAAGTGAAATATCACTTCATACGTGACTGCGTTCAGAAAGGAGAGATCGATTTAGAGTATGTGAAGACGGAAGAGCAAGTTGCCGATTTGTTAACCAAACCGCTGCCTCGGGACAGGCTGGAAGAGTTGCGTCATGCAATTGGGATCAGAAACCTGAGGTCGAGGGAACAAGATTAAAGGGGAGAATGACAAGAAATAATCTTGTTCGTGGCTGAAGTTGGAGACGGAAGTTTCGGACAAGGGATGAGTTGATTAAGTCAATAGACTTGTTCAACAGTCGAGTAACCATTTCCTGATTTTTCTGCATTTTTGTTGTTCTTCAGTTGTTATTGCACGATCTTTCTTTTGCTCTGTACTTTTCTATTTAAGGGACAAGTAAAGTTCAATAAAGATATGCTTTTCCCAAAACCCAGATTCAAAGAAGTTTCGATGCTCTGTTTTATGTGTTGATAAACAGAGTACTGGAACTCAGTTCTTTTTTCTACAGGAGGAGGAATAGCGAAAACGAATGGAAAACAGTGACACATACCGGTTTAAAAAAAAGAAGCCTAAAACCAAGACAAGGGGACTAAAGTCACAAGAATATCTGAAACTGTAACAGGAAAACGAAATCGAACCGACATGTCTTTCAGTATAGAGACATGCACGTTTGAAGGATACATCTTCCAGGGTTTTCGCCTCTTTACGTGTTCTTGATTCCGTAACAAGAAGGGATTAGTCAGATGGGATGTATAGACGCAGAATGAATATGGCGTGTGCCTAACTTAAACGATACGAGGAGGATCAAATGTAGAACTAGAAATGTGGAGACAGAGAACTTGGTCGTGTTTCAGATACGATCAAGACAGAGACACTGCATGCATGCATGCACATGCATACATGCTAAATTGGTATTTGCACATGCGATGGTTGAAGTTAGGCATAAAAACATGTTATGGGTTTTCAGTATATGAACAAAGAACCTTTTGAAACGGGTAATTTCTATTATGTCGTAATCGGATAGGAATCTCCGGAACGTGGTGTTGTTATTTTCTCAAGCACTGTTTATATCTATGTTTTTGGTCAAACGCTGGCCCACTGGATTAGGATTAGACTGAGATTATACTGGGGAATTTATTATTTTTTTAAAAAAATTATTGATAGCGTGGTACAATACATGTGAGGATGGTTTTAAAACGCTGCTCTTGATAGTTATGTATATTCCCCTAACCTTGATTCATATATAATTTCATATCAGCCGTAAACAAACTAAGTTAACTTTGACTAATGGAGTTTTTCTTTTTCTCTCCGGGATTAATTTATCAAACAAAATCTGGATAGATAGACCACATCTCATGGAAAATATTAACTAACCATCCCAATCTACGGTTATAACTATTAAATTAATGTAATAATCATCCAATGATAAGATCAAACAAGCACCGAAGTTTAAAAAAATTGAAAAAAATGATATTAGCTAAAGTAACCAAAGTGGCTGTAGTTTAGTGGTTAGAATTCCACGTTGTGGCCGTGGAGACCTGGGCTCGAATCCCAGCAGCCACAGTTTTTCTTTTTGTTTATAATTAATTTTAAAAACGGGCCTTTGGCGGCCTTGTTTTCTTAGAATTTTTAAGTTTTATTACAGTGAGATGGGCCTGTGTTAAGGCTTTTCGATATTAAAAATTAAAAAAAAATCATACGAAATAGTTTTAGATTTCAATTCAATTATTTAATTTACTTATAACAAAAAGGTAAAATACTCTCTTCTAGATTTTGGAAAGCAACAAACTAAAATTTTTTATGATTTTGTTTACTTCTAAAATCTGTTGCGAATAATTTGTGTCGTGGAAAAGATAAACCAATCTGTTTAAATGCGATCATCTTTTAATGCAACTTGTACAGTCATCTTTTATATATATAAAAAAATAATCTATATTGGTATTTTACAGATAATCATGTGTGAGTCGTATATTTTAAAAACGGATAATATTATCGATATTCTATTCTGTCCTTTATCCACCAACTTCTTTTCCATAATTATCATCCACATACTTAATTTTAACATGGTTATCTTTACAGAAATATATAAGATCCGTATTTCGCTCCAATTACAGATCATTATCCCTTGAATTTATTTGAGCCTATTACACGTATTTGTTTTCAATTTATTTATTTAATGTGTGTAATTCGTGATGCTATAATATTTAACCATCGAACGCTTATCTTTCTGTAAACATATCATCCCTTAATCTTGAATAAATTAAAAAATAATAATATTATGGGGAGAACCAAACGGAAATTAAATAATTAAAGGGTACGTATATGAATATCATTCCAACCGTGTAACGTAATAATCATTAACATATCATTATAAAAAATTATACAATAATGCCGGACCATCAATTTATTAAAGAAGGCACCACCGACGTGGCGAATTTATTTTTTGTTAATTTTTTTTTGGACGTGGTGGATGATAGAGATATGCTAATATCTCCAATTATGAATAGAAAGATTATTTTCCCAAACACTATCAGTGGATTAGTTTAAAAGCACCAGTCCTCCAGTTATGAACTGATTAATTAAGAGAAATATTAATTAATCGAATTAATTACATTCTTATCCCCCAAGTAAAAATCCCGATGAATCATAATCAATCTTTTACCCTTTCCGAATCTCTCGATCTGGTAACGCTTATCTCCGTACACCTTCTCTCTATATAAATAACGCAAACGCAGGGCCTCGCCACACATCGACGATCATCGTCTTAGCAAATACCAAATATTTTCTCTCTGCTTTCTGTTTGGTTCTCGATAAAGTTTTGAAACAATGGAGTTGGATCTTTCACCGAAATTGGCGAAGAAGATGTACGGAGGAGAGGGCGGATCGTACTTCTCGTGGTGCCCGGAGGAGCTTCCGATGCTCCGTGAGGGCAACATTGGCGCCGCCAAGCTCGATCTCGAGAAGTACGGATTCGCTCTTCCTCGTTACTCCGATTCCTCCAAAGTCGCTTATGTTCTTCAAGGTCAGATCTTTTCTTTTTCTTTTTCCGATTTTGTTCTTGTGCTTTTGTGAACTTTATTGTGCTTTTGTGCGTTTTTGTCTTCTGGGTTTTGATCCTTGTGATTTATCCGTACGTTGATCCATGTGACACGTTCTCTGTTAGGGGCTTCATGTTATTTGCGGGCTAATCATCGTAGTTTTGCTACAAGTTTGGAACTTTGTTTGATTCTCTTTTGATTTCTCGCCCTGCACACTGGGATAAGCAATTGAACGTCTTTCCTGAGATCAGACCGCCTATCAGATCTGATTGTTTCATGATCCATAACCAGAAATCTCCTCTTGCTTCCGTACAATGCGTTAATGAGATTTCGTTGGATCACGGGTTCTTTATACATGCTTTTGACTCGTAGTTACTTGGTGAAGATTCTCGCTTCATCATGGGTTCTTTGTTGAGAAAAAAGGTTACCCCTAAATTCTGACTCTCTCTTGGATCAAGTTCAGGTGCGGGGACAGCGGGGATAGTCCTGCCTGAGAAGGAGGAAAAAGTGATCGCCATCAAGAAGGGAGATGCCATTGCTCTTCCCTTTGGCGTGGTCACATGGTGGTTCAACAGCGAAGACACTGATCTAGTCGTGCTCTTCCTCGGAGAGACCCACAAGGGCCACAAAGCTGGACAGTTCACCGACTTCTACCTCACCGGATCTAATGGCATCTTCACTGGCTTCTCTCCTGAGTTCGTTGGCAGGGCCTGGGACCTTGACGAGAACACTGTCAAGACCCTCGTTGGCTCTCAGACCGGTAAGGGCATTGTGAAGCTTGACGCTGGGTTCAAGATGCCACAGCCCAAGGACGAAGACCGTAATGGCTTTGTCTTGAACTGCTTGGAGGCACCTCTTGATGTGGACATCAAGAACGGAGGCAGGGTCGTGGTCTTGAACACGAAGAACCTCCCATTGGTCGGCGAGGTTGGGTTTGGAGCTGATCTTGTCCAGATTGACGGTCACTCCATGTGTTCTCCTGGCTTCTCCTGTGACTCAGCCCTTCAGGTCACGTACATTGTGGGTGGTAGCGGTCGTGTCCAGGTCGTCGGGGCCGATGGCAAGAGGGTCCTCGAGACACATGTAAAGGCTGGCGCTTTGTTCATTGTCCCGAGGTTCTTCGTTGTTTCGAAGATCGCTGATTCTGATGGCATGTCCTGGTTCTCCATTGTCACCACCCCCGAGTAAAAAAAAACCTCATCCTCCTCCTTTTCTCTTGCTTTCAAAGTTCGAATCTTTCGAATCGGAATGCGTGTTTTTGTGCTAAAGTTTGCAACTTTTTTTTGGCAGCCCGATATTCACCCACTTGGCAGGAAGGACATCAGTGTGGAAGGCGTTGTCGCCGGAGGTTTTGCAGGCGGCGTTCAAGGTGGCGCCGGAAGTTGAGAATGCGTTCCGTTCCAAGAGAACCTCCGATGCCATTTTCTTCCCTCCCAACTAAAACAAGAAGAGGAAGAAGAAGAAGAAGAAGCACACGGCCTGTTTTTTTTTAATCTTTTGTTTTTTATTTTTAGATTAAGAGCATTAAAGGATTTGTTTTTTTTTTTTGTGAATTTTCGTGTTTTTCCATACATGGTTTTTTGTGGGCCGGTGCTTGTTCCTTACTGCGTTGGATACAAATAAATAAGATAGTTTTTGTTTAGAATTGGAAGATCTTTTGGAGTTTTTAGAATATAAAAATTTTAAACAAATATGTTATTAAGATTTTGTAGATTTAGTTTTTTTAAATCAGAAAATTATTTCAGTGAAAAAAAATTAACTAAATAACTAAAAACTCTATTTTTATGGATTTATATATAAATTATAAACAAAAAATTTAAATAAATAATTCAAAACAGAAATTACCACTATTTGAGATTATTACTTTCATTTTTTATTTTTGAATTTTAACTTTTGGTTTTTGTAGTATTTATAAATACAACAAATAGAATTTTTAAAAAAAATTAATTTACAAAATCTTATTACCATTTTTAAAAATTTTTGAATTCTGCAAACTCTGAAAATCCATCCATTCAAGCCGTCAACCAAAAAAAGAAGGAATAAGTTGAACCGGGAATCGGGTTCTGTTATGCTATGAACCGGGATCTTTTTAATTCATTTGTAGTTGTAACTTGTAGGACTCCCTCTCTCACATCAGTCTCAGAGGTGTAAAAATGGCGCCTTTGAAAAACCTGGAGAGGGAAAATCCGATGATCGACGCTGATTTCCGTGATTTCTGCGCTTCTCATGGAATTTTTACAGGTTATCCTAAGTTCCTGCGTTTTCTCTCTCAGTAATCTTCGTCTTCTCGTTTCAAACCCGTCGAATTTTGCATGTTTGCCTGCGGTAATGGCTACTGTCTGAGGAAATGAAATCGGTCGCTAGGAACCGAATTCTAGTTCCGTTATTGTTTTCTACATTATTGGGTTTTGAATTTCAGTCCGGAAGAAGGAGAATTTAGGGCAGGACTATGGGCGTGATTGCCGATACTTTAATCATTCACGTGTAAACTGTTCGACGAATTGAATTTGGTTTGGTTTTTCTTTGAAGTGTTGTGGATTTGAATTCAGGGTTCCTATATCAGTTGTTGGAACTTCTCATTGATTCTATCCCCTTGCTGGTTTAATGCACAGTTGAAGATTTCCTTCTTCATGATCTCTACAGACTTGCTGCATTTGCTGAACGAAAGAAAAATGCAGATAGACTGAAGGAGGTTGGCTCGTGGAGATTTGTTCTGTCCGTTTGAAGATTGAGAATCATATCTTTTGGTTTTGTTGACGAATTACTCGTTGTAACGTTCAGGGAATCACTCTGATGCTTAGTATTATCGAGAGTGAGTGTCGGCCATTGTCGAATGGTATGGAGATGTTGATGGATATGCATAGTAAACACGCTCTTTCGACTGGAAACAGTGGGTATGATGTTATATCTTCTCGGCTTATATTCTGCTGAGACTTCGGCTTTCGTAAGATTTTCATTTGAGTTGTGGTGTATGGGTTTTGCGTAAGGGTGGACTCATTACTCCGAGGCGGTTTCCGTGAGGGTCAGTTGACAGAACTTGTCGGGCCATCATCTTCTGGCAAAACGCAGGTCTGTTTTTGCTTCCGTATCTCTGGTCATAAATTATCTTCTCTGTCTCAGAGGTTTATGAAGATAATGGTGATTCTGCTTTCATCCGTATAGGATCCGTTTTGTTGGGTGTTGTATATAAATAAAGGATGATCCAATGTGTGGACAGTATCATCATAGCATTTACAAAATCAGCTCTGAGCAATCAAAGAGCATTTAGCTGTTAAATGAAAAAAGTTTATCATCTTGGTTATTGTCTTTTTCTTAATATGCTTTCCCTTGTTTCATCTAAATGGCCAGGTTTGCTTGCAAGCTGCAGCAAGTGTGGCGGGCATGCATATGGGGAGAGTCTTGTATATAGATACGGGGAACTCTTTTTCTGCCCGACGTGTTGCACAATTTATCTCTCCATGTTCAGATGCCAATGTAGAAAAGGTTCATTTTTTGTTTTCTGAGCATTCTCATCTCGCAAACCCTTAGAGCCGGGTACTTTTAATTAGTCACTGATTTCCGAACTGAATTTCTTTGTCTACGGACTAAACACGTAAATGTACAGGAAGTAATGAGCAGAATCTCGTGTCAGCCAGTCTATGACATATTTACAATGTTTGATGAGCTGCAACGTCTAGAGTTTACTTCACGATCACAGGTCTTACCTAAAAGATGTAATTTTCTCATGTTACTTGAAATTTTATTCTTTTAGCTTTGACCCTGGTTCCGTTTCTGGTTTTAGACTAATAAGGAGAGTGAATACCGGTTACGATTGCTGGTGATTGATTCAATCTCTTCTCTAATTACCCCAATCCTCGGGGGCAATGGTTCACAGGGTAAATGTCCTTGTACGCCACCACTCTTTCTTCACTGAATAGCTCATACATAATCCTCACAGATCGGTCACCAGGCCAATTTGTAAAGCATAACCACTTTGCTGGATCAAAATCACACCTTTCTCTACTAGGGTGTGTTAAAAGTTCATCACTTTTTTGAGTTCTGAACTTGGTGGCTGCAGGACGTGCTTTAATGGTGGCAGCTGGGTATCTGCTCAAGAAGCTGGCGCATGAGCATAACATTGCTGTACTTGTAATACAATTTTTTTTTGGCTTTCTTGTCTTGTCTAAGATCCATGATTACACTTCTCGATTGATAGGTTAGAAGCTGATTAAGAAGAACCTTTGTTTCACTTTTGGCCTGAAGGTGACGAACCACACAGTAGGTGGAGGAGAAGGGGGTAATGCGAAACCAGCACTTGGACAAACGTGGAAAAGCATTCCACACGTGAGGCTAATGCTATCCCGTGACTGTGGGAACTGCCATTTCACGGTGGCTGTTCTAAAACACACTTGCATGGTACTTCCTTTCTCTGTTCCAAAATCTGTCTCTAATGGTTCTGCAGAACAGAACAGCCGTTTCCATCTCCTGTCACTGTGTTCGTGAGCATAGATTCGTCCTTCCTTGCAGCCTTCAGGCCAAGCCACGAGGGCCACAATTCACAAGGATTAGCGTCCAGACATGGTTCTGCTTCCATACATTTAGAACAATATTTGCATCCAAGAGATGAAGTCGCTGATGGATCATGAAGAACAAGTTCTCCGATCTGCCAAACCAGATTTTCTGTCCGCCGGAGGAGTGCAAGAAGGCTACCGATTCCCCGGACATGACAGAAAAAAACTGGACGGTTGTTTTCAGTATTAGAAGTTATGAATCTTGGACCATCTATTTTTACATGTTGTATAGGAAAAAATACCGAACAAGACAACTGATGTAATTAAACACGAAATACAAGCAGACCGCCTTAGTCGGGAGTCGACCTGTACTATATATTGTGTCACCTGGCTTAGACATTGATATGCGCAAACAGAGGGAGAGCCGAGGAAGTAGACCCGGAGATTCTGGTCGGAGTTTCGATGGCATGGCTAAGGTCAAGTTCCATAAACCCTAAAAGATTAACGTCGATTCCGGTTATCAAGTGTCACATCGAGTCTCAACAGCATTATCATACCCGTCGTCTCAAGTCAGGGACGAAACCCAGCAGCCATGAACGAACCCATAAGCGCACAAGGAAGCCATGGGAAGAGCTACCGTTTCTCACCGATCTCAAAGAAATCGAAGACCCAGAGGAAGCCCTCTCTCTGTTCCACCATTACCAGCAGATGGGTTTCCGACACGACTACCCATCTTACTCTTCGCTCATCTACAAGCTTGCCCGGTCTCGCCTATTCGACGGTGTCGACCATGTTCTCAGGCTGATCCGAGATCGTAATGTTCGGTGCAGGGAGTCCCTCTTCATGGCGTTGATTCAGCATTACGGAAAAGCTGGATTGGTGGATAAGGCTGTTGAGATTTTCAATACCATGGTCTCGTTTAATTGTGTCCGTACGAAGCAGTCTCTGAACACCCTCGTCAACGTCTTGGTCGATAATGGAGAGTTGGACAGAGCGAAAAGCCTCCTCGAGGGATCGTACGAATTGGGTTTGCGTCCGAATTCGGTTTCGTTCAATATAATGATCAAAGGATCGCTCGAAAATGGCAATTGGGAAGGTGCCTGCAAGGTGTTCGACGATATGCTTGAGAAGAAAGTGCTTCCAACGGTTGTGACGTACAATAGCCTGATAGGGTTCTTATGCCGAAATGATGATATGGGGAAGGCAAAGAGCTTGCTTGAGGATATGATTCGGAAGAGAATACGCCCAAATGCGGTCACATTTGCTCTGTTAATGGAAGGTTTATGCTCTAAACGGGAGTATGATGAGGCAAAGAAGATGATGTTTGATATGGATTATCGCGGATGTAAGCCAGGTCTTGTTAACTATGGAGTTTTGATGAATGATCTCGGAAAGAGAGGGAAAATCGACGATGCAAAGCATTTACTTGGTGAGATGAAGAAGAGGCGGATAAAACCAGATGTTGCAATCTACAACATACTGGTGAATCATCTCTGTAGAGAAGGTAGAGCTTCCGAAGCTTACAGAACGCTGACCGATATGCAAATCAAAGGTTGTAAGCCAAATGCAGCTACATACCGGATGATGGTTGATGGGTTCTGCCATGTCGGGGATTTCGATTCAGGGTTGAAGGTTTTGAGCGCAATGCTTGTGAGTAGACAGTCACCTCGACCTGAAACATTTGTTCGTATGATTTCCGGGCTGTTAAAAGACGGGAATGTGGATGGCGCTTGCTTTGCTTTAGAGGAAATGGGGAAGAGAGGCATGATCTCTGGTTCTGGTCTTTGGGAAAATCTGATCAGGGAAGTCGAGGTTGAGGAGGGAGTTGGAGGCGCTTGCCATGAGCTATTCACAGAGATAATCTCCATCAAGCAGTGACCTTTTCAAGGTAAACATGGAATTCATATTCATTCCATTGCTTTTCTTTTTCATGATCTAACACCAAATAGGATGGATGGAATTGTTGTTGCAGGGGAAATTAGCACAGAGTTGTTTTGATGAATGGAGGGAATTGAAATGTTTAAGCTTTTGCTTAGGATTTAATCATTATGGCAGGTGAATTTCATGAATAGTTCCATTTAAGATCCTGAGGTGAAGTTACAGCTCAGATTTTGTGTTTTTTTTTTATTTGTGTTTGATCTCTAACCAAACCACTCAAAAGAATGGAAAAGTTGTCACCTGCTCCATTTCATCAACTCCATCTTTCTCTGTTAACAATCTGGATTCATGCTTATGCCCTGCATATATATACACTCTTCATGGATCAACCTGTTTCATCACCTTACAGCCAAAAACATTCAATTCAAACAACAATCTTAGCATCTCTGACCATCCTCCTCTCCAATGGCAGGCCACAAGTTACTCACCTTCCTGGTTTTAGCTCTCACCATCAGTTTCACATCCGCTGCGCGGCTACTCGATGAAGGAGATGCACCTGCAGCCACCACAGTCACCGGTTCTGGTCCCTTACCAACCACCGGTTCTGGTCCTCTACCTACTGCTGGTGTTGTTCCTTTAGCAACTTCAGGTTCAGGTCCCTTACCCATTGCTGGTCCAGTTCCCTTGCCCACTGCTGGTTCAGGTCCTCAGGTCACTGGCCCCAGTGCAGGTGTGGGACCCGTCTTAGGTGGTTCAGGTTCCTTGCCCACAACCGGTTCTGGTCCCTTGCCCACAACCGGTTCAGGTCCCCTACCAACTACTGGTTCGGGTCCATTACCGACTACTGGTTCGGGTCCATTACCGACTACTGGTCCGGGTCCCCTACCAACTACTGGTTCCGGTCCTTTGCCAACTGCTGGTACAGGTCCTGCAGCCACAGGAGCTGGTGCAGGAGCAGGACCAGCACTAGGTGGTGCAGGTCCTGACAACGCATTGATGTTCTACATGCACGACATCCTTGGCGGCTCAAACCCCACGGCCAGAGCTGTGACTGGAGTGGTAGCGAATCCAGCTGTGACTGGCCAAGTCCCGTTTGCCAAACCTAATGGAGCGAACCTACCTGTCAGCAACGGTGTTCCAACCAACAACAACAACAATGGAATCATCAACAACAACAATGTCCCTTTTCTTGTCGGGCTTGGAGGAACCACAGCCAACATTCTCCAGAACAACGGAAACAATCTCTTGACGGGTCTCCCGGTTGCGAATGGCGGTCAGCTCCCGACCGGTTTAGCACTTCAGGACCTCATATTCGGGACAATGACAGTGCTCGACGCCTTGGCGGCTCAAACCCCACGGCCAGAGCTGTGACTGGAGTGGTAGCGAATCCAGCTGTGACTGGCCAAGTCCCGTTTGCCAAACCTAATGGAGCGAACCTACCTGTCAGCAACGGTGTTCCAACCAACAACAACAACAATGGAATCATCAACAACAACAATGTCCCTTTTCTTGTCGGGCTTGGAGGAACCACAGCCAACATTCTCCAGAACAACGGAAACAATCTCTTGACGGGTCTCCCGGTTGCGAATGGCGGTCAGCTCCCGACCGGTTCAGCACTTCAGAACCTCATGTTCGGGACAATGACAGTGATCGACGATGAACTAACGGAAGGACATGAACTGGGGTCTGGTTTGATAGGTAAGGCACAGGGGTTCTACGTGGCGAGCGCCATAGATGGAACCAGTCAGACAATGGCGATCACGGCCATGTTTGAGAGCGGTGGGTACGAAGACAGCATCAGCTTCTTCGGCGTCCATAGAACAGCGGCTTCAGAATCTCATCTTGCGATCATGGGAGGCACGGGAAAGTACATCAACGCTAGAGGTTTCGCTATCGTCAAGACTTTCGCGGGGGCCAGTGGGTTGCAGCTGCTACAGCAGCAGCAGCCGCATCAGCTGACCGACGGGCTCGAGGCGGGTTGGCTTACTAGTTTTGTTGTTGTTGTTGTTGTGATGGGAAGTCAAAGGGATATGTCTTGTTTGGGAATTCTGTTTGTGTTTCTGTGATCTAAATTGTGTAAGAGATGTGTGTAAATCCATGATATTTGTACTTTGTAATTTGCCCATAATTGTTGGAACTTGTTTATCTGCCAACCACTGAAGCTCCTAAACAAACAGATCACGACAGAGACAGGACAAAGCAGAAGCAGTTCTGGCAATGATAATCTTGTCCAAAGAATCTATTATCTTATTTGAAATTCTGAAGAAAAAAAGGGATTTAGAAGAATAACGCTTAAAGGAACATATTTACTGATAGATGATTGTAAAACAATATCTTAAGCTTGGTTACAACAAATATATTAACAGAGAATATACAAATCTTAATTCAACACAAACAATCACAATTACATCCGTAATCCAAATCACAGATTGATTACACCAATTGAGAGATTAAAAAAAAACATTTGCTAATTAATCAAGAGAAGAAAATATTGAGTCGAAGAACGGTGTCGACGCCATAAGTGGTGTGCTCGATCACGACATGGCCTCTTGCAACCTCGTACTCGGCACCTGTCCTTTCCACCAAGGCCATCGGAGACGGCGGCCCAGCCGCGGAGGCCCGGTGGACCACGAAGTGGCTTATGGTGTTGTCCACGTCATCATCATGGCCTCCTCCGCTGCCGTGGTGGTGGACCAGCACTGTGAATGCCATTTAATTTGTGGCTGCTTCCGCCCACTAACCTCCCTAATATAATGGTATAATATTAGTTTCTATTACTAAAAGAAAACTGTACAAAAATTCTTTTTCATTTTTCCAGTGATTTACATATATTTGAATGTAATTTGTTGCTTTGATTTGAATGATTATACCCAATTAACTTCTCAAATTGCCATATTATCGTTTAGAAAAAGTATTTAATCTAATTATAGTAATGATTTAAATAAGTCCTTAATTACCGAACATGAGGGACTGAAGCTGGCTTGAGAGCCGCCCGGCCGTGACAAGCGGCAGTGTATTTCCGGCGCCGGCGACGACGTTGTTATTCCTGTTGTTTATAATTAAGGTACTTGTTGACGCGCCGTCAAGTCTGGCGACAAACGGGAGGTTCCTGACTTCCTGCTGTTAACTATTCCGTTAACGTTCCTGACGGCGCCGCTATTGGCCGTTACGAGTTGAACGCCGTTGCTAACTGAAAAACCGCCACCGTTTGGTATGCCGTTAATCTGCGCGGGCGCGACCATACCGGAGAGCGGAGGATTTGCCGTGTTCGGGACTATGACAGGTGGCGGAAGGGGATTGGGTGTCTGGTTGAGGATTCTTGCTGACTTGGCAAGTGTTAAGACGAGGGATATGAGGAGCAATTTGAGCAATATGGACATTGTGAACAAGTTTATTTTTTTTCTTTTAGAGTGAATATTAATGAATGAGATTGAAAATGGATATTTGGGTATATACTTTATAAATGTGTGTTTGTATGATGTGTATATGTGCGTGTGTATGGAGACGTTTCTCTGCGAATGTCATGCCATGCATCAGATGGGGAGACGAACTACCTGCCGTTTGTTTTGCTTTTTTGGGCCAAACAACCTGTCGTTTCCATAACAAAAAATAATAAATATATTCCTCCCCGCTAGGAAGTCATTCCGGGTGATCTTCTTTCTTCATTCATGCGTTTTCGATGTTCGAAGTTTCTGTCATATAATTTTTTTTATATAAAATAGGAAAACCATTATTAATATAATATCACACAATAAAAAAAAAACAATATGACGTACTACCGCCGCAAATTAAAAAAAAAAAGAATTAATTTTTTTATGGAAGGATTTCCCAGAAAACTAATGAAGCTTGCGGGCTCGTAAATATTAAATGGGCCAATAATGGGCCTTTCTTCTCTCGAGATAATATAAAGTAAATGGGCCTAAATGTTCGATCAATTTTATGACAACCTCATCCGCTCTCTCTCTCATCATTTTGTTTTTCAACCGATTCCTCGTTGGCGTTGGTGTGTCGGATCACGTACTCCACGCAGATCCCAATTTTGCAAATATTTTATTTTGTAAATTATATATACAATATAATATTTTTTTTGTTAAAATATAATATCATATATTAGCAACCAGTTTCACAAAAAGCGGAACAGTTTGAAAGTATACCACAAAGCAGATTCCAAACTTCAACCACTTAATTGGAGAAAAAAAATCATGCTTAAAGCAGATTCCTCTCGCATTATTATTTACAGTTTGAAATAAAATATTCATATAGATTGGATTTTGAGCTTTGTATAACATTTTATTTCGTCCAACTAATAAAATTCATAACAAAAAATACGTTATCTCCATTTTTTTAAAATATGCATTCATGCATTAATATAATTTAATCTCTCATCCTTTTCTTGTATTTATTGCTTGATAAAGTAATAATCTCCTAATCCCAATACTTTTATTCATAAACTCAAAATTATTTAATGAATTAAAGATGCCGCGTTGTAATGTCGCTTATTCCAATTTCTTTTTTTTTTGGGAAAATGGCAAAAATCCACACAGATTATACCAAATGTGTAAAATTAGTACATCAATTTTTAATTTGACAAAATCCTCCATCCGATTTCAAATTTTCCCAATTTCCAGCATCGATTGTTTTGGAAATTTCCAATTAGCACCGTAAAGGGAATTGACCCTGCCACATCAGCACTGCATGTTGATGTGTCACCACTCATCGAAAAATATGCCACGTAGGATGACACGTTACCTGCCACGTCACCAGTTCGGTTATTGTAATCGGTTCATTTAATTTAACCGGTTAAGTGGAAACCGATTTTTTTTTTAAAAAAAAGAGGAAACCCTAAATCAGAAAAGAGGAAACCCTCTCTCCTCTCCTCTCTGCTTCTCTCTCCTCCTCTGGTGCTGGAAAACTTCTCCTGTGAGACGAGCTCCGGCGTAGCTCTGACGCTTCTCTCTCCGCCGCAGGTGATGGTGGGAATGGCGGAGTATATTGCGGCCGTAGCCGTGAGGGAAGAGGATTCATCTCAGTCGTTGGATCCCGGAGGCTCGCAAGATTGCTGGAAGAATCAGGACCCTGAGTCTGTGGCTAAGTTCTTGGCTTACTGCGACGGCCTGAGCGAAGGGTTCATCGGACGGCTGAACCAGAGGACGAGACATCATCGGTGGGATGATCGGACGGTGGATATGGCTTTTGGGAATAGAACAGCTGAGAGCGCGTGCGACAAGATGGTGTGTCGGATAAATACATGATGATTGATCCTAAGCTGGCGTGGAACATCGTCACATGCTTTGACGACAATGTTTTTTATTCTTTTATTTGATGTTGTGATTTGTTTTTTCGAATTATTGGATGACAAATTGGTCAGAACCACGTATTTTTCGGGTCGAAACAAAAATATATTAACCTAACAATAGTTTTTCGGAGCTGTTCTCACCGGAGGAGTTTTCCAGCAATGGAGGAGGAGAGAGAGCGGAGAGGAGAGGAGAGAGGATGTGATGTCGATTTCTGATTTAGAGTTTCGATAAATCCTTTTTTTTAAAAAAAAAATCAGTTTCCACTTAACCGGTTAAATTAAATGAACCGATTTCAATAACCGAATTGGTGACGTGCAACATATTTTTTGAAGAGTGATGACACATCAGCATGCAACGCTGACGTGGCAGGGTCAATTCCCTTTTCGATGGTAATTGGAAATTTTCAAAACAATCGATGCTGGAAATTGGGAAAATTTGAAATTGGGTGGGAGATTTTGTCAAATTAAAAATTGATGTACTAATTTTACACATTTGGTATAATCTGTGTGTGTTTTTGCCATTTTCCCTAAAAAAAATAAACTAAAATCGTAAAACTAGTAAAATAACATTTCAATGCAAAAAAAAAAATCATAAGGCAACTATTACTAGTGTATAAATTAACCAAACAAGTTATAGAAACTAATAAAACAAAATCCAAAACAAATCGTTTCCATAGATTCATAAAGTGTTTGCAGCTTCTGATAAAATGGGTTTGTGAAAAAAATTACCCAACCGTGGCCAAAAAAACGCAGACAGAGATTTGAAACCCGGTTCCTCATCAATTTCACAAACCCATTTGAAATGTTCTTTCCCAATCCCAGAATTTTCACTAACAATTTGTGTAATGCAATAAATTTATAAATTTTACACTTCGATTGTCGGGGCCGATTTTATCAAATTAAAAATTGATGTACTAATTTTACACATTTGGTATAATCTGTGTGGGTTTTTGCCATTTTCCCTTTTTTTTTAAAGAAAGAAAAGAGACCCACTACCAAATCAATGTCCTCTACTCGTTTGTTTATCATAAAAAAATATACACATGCGTATTTTCGTGACAGTATTGCGTGTCCGTACAATTTATTTCAAAGTTGTGCTATAATATATACCTAGTGTATATATATGTAGATATATAGTCATAAAATTCAGACGCAAATATAATACGTCCGTTGACCAAAACCATTCGATCGATTAATACGTTTTTTGGATTCTTCAAATCCAAAAGATCGATCTATTTTTTCAGATTCATATGTTTAATTATATTAGGTCAGGGGATCAACATACGTTTTATATTTGCATAATGTAGGTGAAAACTATTTTTATGTCTGAAAAAAAAAACAGGGTCTCAGATAACAATGTGTACGTATAAACATTTTATTTTTATTTACTAATTTTTTATATTTGTCAAATAATGTAAAGTATATGTGAACAATATGAAATTGGTCACGTAACACCATTTCCTCTTTTGGCTTCACACGCTATGCTCTTGTTTTGGTACCATTACATTTTTTTTTTCTCTTTTCTTTTATCTTTCATCCTTTTCTTTATTTAATAAAAATATCTTTAAATTTGTAAGTAATTGTAATTCGTATCTCGATATTATAATAGACCATTTCGAAATGATACAAAAAGTCCATAGACTTGTAAATATTTTCAAATTTATAACTTTCTTGACTATAAAAACCTTGGAGGAAGAATAATTCATAGCTTTAGTTTGTATTTTTTCCATGGATTGCGTAGCTAAATCTTCCGTATGAATTAATGAATGACAACCTAGCTAGTGATTTAATTAATTATGTGAACAAAATCACCAATTAATCAGTGCAGAATCCATTTTTGTATATATATATATATATATTAATTGCTGCAATTGGGGGGGTTAAACAGAACAACGCGCATTGAACAAATTAATACAAATCAAACCACTACAAGTTGAATCATCTTCATGTGTTTTTTCTGAGGTCTAATTCATATTTCCATTTTTGGATTGTCTTCTCCCATACAACATAAAACAACATAACAAAAATAAAAGAACCGACCAACAATACAATTGTGTAGTTCATATAATAGACCGTGTTGTAATTACAACGCTATATATATATATATATATATATATAATTGGGCGGTCCTCTTATTTATTTTTTGTTATGTTGCATGGGAGAAGACAATATCGTTAAACGTCTTACGTAAATCATGCATGGAGTCGTACCCTCAACAACCGTGTTTTTATTTTTTCCTTTTTGGTAAATTAATACCAATGTTATTGTGTTTCCCATCTAAACCTTTTTTTTTTCTTTTTAAAATTATACACCGTAATATTATATACTTTATGGTAATGAATATATATATATATATATATATATATATATAACAAAGTACATGAAATATTTGAAAATTCAGAAATGTAGCGGTGCTTTGATGAAAAATAGTAGGTTCGGTAACAAGAGAACTTTGAAATAAGAGCAAGTGTGATTTCATTATTGTTATTTGTAATTTTTACATGAAAAAAACAAGTGAGACACGGATTTAATATTATTTGAATTAAACGTAAAGATGGCAACCTATCTAAACATTATATATAAATGAAAAGAAGAAAACAAATATTGGCAATATACGGGGATAACATGTTTCATCTATAGGCAAAGTCATAATTTCTAAGAGCAACTACGCGCTTGGCTCTACATATCTACGATGACTTCAACAATTTATTAACTATATTGTAGTGTATTATATATATATATATATATA